TTTTTTTCAAAACCCTTCTTTCTCTAAGTATTTTAAATCCTCTAGTTCTCATAAAACTTCCTCTGAGTGTACTTTTCCTGACCTATGACTCCAAATACAGATGAGATAAGCTACTGAACAACTGCACAGTCCACACAGGACAGACAGGCCAAGAATTCCAGTAAAAGCATTTTAAGGTAATCTGCTAAGCCAGCTCATGTTTAAAAAAAAAAAAAAAAAAAGGCAAAGAAACAGTTATTATGGTCCAGCAATAAATACTAGTGATTTAGGCTGTTTGCAGCTGGAACCGTGACAGAAGTCTCTACATCAGCCTGTTAGTACACCATTAAGTATGAGTTAATATTTTATGGAATAATTTTCCCCTTAAATCCACTGGACTCTCTTGCCAAGTAAACAGCACTGCAACATTTCCCAGGTGGCTTTAGAAAGTCACGCTAATCCTCCTAGCATGTAACAAACCTCACTGTGTGACCTCCACAACACTGACTTTTATTAAGCACAGTTCAACAGGGCAAGGACCACATCTATGCTGATTTAACACAGTTTTAACTCCTAGTCTGGTTTCAGTGAGTTCAATCTCATTAAGGATGTTTTTCAAGATGTCGATGAACAATGAAAGTGAATTACTGAGGAAAAACTATGCCTAATTTCACAGTATAAATTCATGCCAGTCTTCTTGCTTAGTGTCCAAAACAAAGATTTACACTAAAAGATTAGATTTTATCTTTTTTACCCCGAAACATTAAGAGCTAAATATCACACTCACAAAGGCATATACTAATATATACTCTGAATCATCTCGAACATGCTGCAGTTACAATTAGACTGTTCACCTTAAAAAAAAAGTGTCTTCCTTCTCCTTCCTACTCACAAACCACATGATAAAACAAAAGTCGAAATGAAGAGAAAAAGGCAAAATGAAGAGCAAGTGAATAATTTATTATAGATTTCACAAGCCAAGTAACGTACATTTATCATGTAAGTCTTGTGGCAGTTTAAAGATACTTAGAATCTTTAAACTAAGAAAATTCATACTCTGCCTTAAATATGTTAGAAATGCTACTACGCACAGTTCAAGAGTGCCGATGGTTACACTGCTTCTTCCCCCAGCTTGGCAATACTTGAAAGAGATGAACACAAAAGGGACCTGGAACATCACAAAGGCATGTTAAAAGTAAGAACAACCAGAAAATAGTAGTGTCATGCTTTGACAACTAAATTGAAAAATGCTTAGTATTTAGAAAAGCGCTGAATGTCTGAAAAAAAAAATCTGACATAATATATACAGGCTGCATTAATTTTATGTTACAGTAAGTTAATAATGGAACCCACAAGAAAAACATGTGACTGGCAGTAACACTACCTCAGCGCAGAGAACAAGCTAAAAAAACCAACAAAAAGACAGCAATGATTAATAGTTGATTAATAGTTCAATTTTGAATACTTAATTGCAAGATACTGTTAGATTTTCTTTTCTACTCTAAAAAGAAAAAGTAAGGAATGTACAAACTAATTCAGCTACAGATTATTTCTCATATACCAGGACAACAGTAATCATTAAATGATCTGAAATACTGGTCAACCCTTTAACATCATTAAGAATTGCTCTGCAACATATTTTAACCAACTTACTATCATCATCGTTATATTTAAATAAAGAAAATCAAGAAGACATCCTGAAGTATGAGCTCAGCACAGCTCCATGTACATCAGTAGAACACTTCTAGCTCATACAAGCTAAGGAATTCAACCACAAATTAGCAAGTTACATGACCTTTGAGGAAGAAGGTGGAGGCTACCTTTTACGGCTAGGAACCTTCATCACGTCTATACGCACAACACAGACAACTCTTTATTTTTTCCCCCTGAAAAAGTGCCCTTTGCTTTAAAAATTACCAGATTAGTTCAAGCTCTAAAACATGTAAACTCCTCCCCACACCTATTCTATATGAAAACTTAGATGTAGTTGAGCACTATGGGAAACATTGCACAAAAAAAGGATACAACAAGAAAGGATACACTCTGCATGACAGTATTACTGCAGTATTTACACAGGAATGTTTCTAAAGAAGAACAGCAGAATGTGGTTTAATTTTACTTGTTTCTCAGTAATGCACACACATAATTTTATGCTGCCTATCAAAAGTCAATGTGCCTCTGGTAAGATAGTTTTGACACCTTATGAGATCTAATGATGGCTGATGAGTCCACCAACACTAAATTTCATAATCAAAAGTACATTTTTGGTTAACTTGAACTACTAGGACAAGACCAGATTTTTCTGTCTCATTAATTCTCCTTCAAGCCTTTGCCATTTTACAGACTCACTTGTTCCACTGGGTTCAAAACCCAATCATGTTCCCATTCAACGTAGGCTTTCAAGTCACTTCTTCCCTATGAAGAAGCTGAAGACACATCAGTTTTTCTACATAACCTTTCTCCCCAAAAGCTGTATTTTAGCTACAGAAAAAATAGCCACCCCAAATACTAACTGAAATTTTTGCCAGCCTATCAATAAAGACATTTCAGCCAGTAAGGAGTTAAGAGTATTTTCATAAACCACATGTATTTTCTCTACAAATTATAAAAACTTTCTAGAGAAAACACTAAAAAAAGTAATTAAAATAGTTACAATAACATTCATGAATTTAACATAGCTTCTGTTTAAAAAGAATTAAACTTATGACAGTATAGGTGTAAAAACAAACAAATTTGAGATACAGGATACAGATCAAATCCAAAATCCCTCAAGTGTTTGCATAAACATGTTTACATGCCTATTTATGTTCCATATTAGACTCTGACACTGTCCTTTCCTACAGACTCAAATTTGAGTTTCCTACAGATTCAAATTTCTATCATGGAACTGTGCATCATAAATCAGCAC